CGTGAAAGCGCTGGGTCAGCGTATCACCACCAGCGAACCACTTCCCGTCAAGTGGCATAAATCGGGGTCGATCACTCCTTGTGGGGGTACCGCTATCATCGCTTCGGATTCGATCATCCAACCGTTTGAGGCAAGCCATGATCATACTGGCCTGTATGTCACACTCTACCGAACACAACGCTTAAATGCAGCATGGATTCAGGTCTCACCTTCATGCAAATTATTGGTTGTTTCGATTTATGCATTCACTGGGGCCTCTCAGGACTCCATTTTGCACGACAGAAATGACCAGATGTTGTCGGACGTGTTCACCTTTGTTGCTCAATTCGGTGCAATTCCGATTGTAATTGCTGGGGATCTGCAGGCTGACCCGGCTAGTTATGCCTCTGTTGCAAATTGTGTTGCATTTCATGGATGGTCTGACCCGGTTGCGGGAGTTGATGAGACGGGCCACACTACTCGGCCCCTTACCTTTTCCCGGGATGGTGCGTTTTCCGGAAGCGATGATGCAACCTCGTCAATTGATGCGGTACTTGTCAACAATTGTGCCTTTTGTGCCCTCAAATCTGCTGAGGTTGTTCCTGTTGTAGGCAAGCAACACCGGCCTATTAAACTTGTCTTTCAGTGGCGATCCATTACCCAGGTTGGGTACACACTGTTCAAAAGTGCCGCCTTTGTCCCTGAAACCCTCACACCTGCAGTGTGGAGTGAAGACACTCATTCTGACTGGCCCCGTTTTTCAGCTAAGTATGAGGCTTGCAATGATAGTGAAGGCAAATGGAGCGTCATTAATGACTTTCTTGTTCACTCCCTTCGCTCACAAGGAGCCCAATGGGGTCAGGGTCCACAAAGTCGAGGTGCTACACCCCAATTTGTGTCCAAACGTGTGACACCCAAGCAGCATAAGAACTTCTGTGCAGCCACCAAGAAATCCACAGATCTCTATAAACTGGTTGGCAGATTGCAAGAGTTGTTTTGTCGACTCTCCAGAGACCCAGGAGGACCCCAAGACCAGTTTGATACTCGTCAAACCGCATACCGTGCACATAAGGGTCTCCAACACCACCATGCCCCAGTGTTGTGGTCGTCTCCGCACTTTCCAACCCTTGCTGAAGTGTTTCTTGCTCGACAATGGGCTGAGGCAGCAGCCAAACTTCTCGACTCACAAATCCGTTTGAAACGCTTGCAAGCTTGGAAGACCAAAATCAAAGAGTCTGCCAAGGGAAACTGTCACTTCATTTACAAGCACCTGCGCAACTCCGTCCAAGATGAACCCCCTAATTTGGTTCTTGATGATGTAGGCCAGATTATCTATCAGCCTATGCCTGCACTAGACCAGATTAATTCGGCTTGGGACACGATTTACTCTGCCAATGCCTTGTGTGAAAATCCTATCAAAATCTTAGAAGTCATTTGGCCGAGCATTCAGCAGCAGGTTCATCAGTGTGATTTACCTCCCATACAAGGCAAGCAACTCTTTGAAACCGTTCATCGTCGCAAGAGCCATGCAGCTCCGGGCTTAGATGGCTGGCGCACGTTGGAGCTCCAAGCTCTTCCTGCACCTTGTTTTGACCCGATCGCACGGTTCTTTACTTTCATAGAGGAGTCCGAACAGCCTTTGCCCAAAGCCCTTGTTTGCGCCAAACAATGCATCCTTAATAAAAAGGGACCAGCTTCGGCCTTGAATAAAAGGATTATTACTGTATTGCCAGCCTTGCTCTTGGCTTACACTGGTAGTAGATATAAGCAACTCCAGCCATGGCTACTCACTGCCCTCCCACCAGCCATCTTAGGTGGGGTACAAGAACGGCACATGGCCTCCTTATACAATGAAGTTCGCCTTGAGTTGGATATGGCCCAAAGTGAATCCTCCCCAGTCGTAGGTGTGAAGCTTGACAAGTCCAAAGCATTTGACAGGATCGTACCAGCCTATGCCGCCATGTTGATGCTAGCATTCGGCCTACCCAGGTCTGTGGTCAATGTCTTTGTTAAGCTCTATACTGGCCTTCATCGCCATTTGGCCTACCGTAATTGGATGCGGCCGACTCCGACTACAGCGGCCAACGGTGTGGCACAGGGCTGCAGCTTGTCCTTACTTGCAATGAACCTGTACAACAAAGTCTGGTACCACCTGTTAGTTCACCTTCCAGCGGTCTCCGTACGTGCCTTTGTTGACGATTCATACTTGTGGTGTAAACTTGACCGTATCCATCAGCTGCACACTGCAATACAGATCACAAAGCACTGGGACCTTCTTGTTGGACAGCTTTTTAATCCGGATAAATCGTCCATGTGGTCCTCACATTCCCATGGTAGGAAACAGCTTCGTTCCTTGTTCCCAGAATTCCCTGTCGAACTTGAGTTTGAAGTGCTCGGAGCCAAGATGTACACTTGCTCCCGTAAGGCCTTTCGATATGACTTGGGCACCCATAAACAGATTCTGACCGATATTGCCAACATTGGGGCGCTTCGCATTCCGACTCATGTCAAGAACCTGCTCATTGGGGCCAAAGTCATCCCGCGACTTACTTTTGCGTCACACGTCACGCAAATCCCCAAAAGGGAATTGACCCAACTCCAAAGTGCGGTCATCAAAGCCCTGTGGCATGGAAGACCGAAATGGCGTGCTAAATGGTTGATCCAAGCCATACACGGCCAACCTCACCGCACTGATCCGGTGTTAGCATGTGCTGTCACCACTATTTCTGAGTTCACTCGATGCTGTCAGAAGACACCAGGTTTGATTCCTTTCATACGTCGATCGCAAACTCACTGCCATGCCCAACAGCATTCCTTGTGGTCCCGAGTTCAATCTGCAAGTTCGGTTCTTAATGTTGTGATTGATGAGTCTTTTGGTCTCTCCTTTCGTAATTCACAACCCATTGACCTGACCCATCTTCAACCTCGTGAACTTAAGCCATTGTTGATCCAACTTGCCAGACAAGCCGCATATCAGAGTGTTGACCACAGAACTCGGAAGGATTTTTTCCCACCTCAAGGATTGCTCGACCACCAGGCTACTACGAAGTTACTTAAAAGCAAGCCGACTTCAGACCACGCAAGTCTCTCGCCGGCTGTTCGCTTTCACTCGGTCGTAGTTGGTTGTGTTTTAACCAACGATAGGCTATCAGCCGCTGGGTGGAGCGACTCACCCAAGTGCCGCTTTTGTTCCTCAGCTAAGGAATGCATGGAGCATCTAGTGCACGATTGTCACTCCCTCCATGCCATCATCGGCAAGCCGGTCCTTCATGAATTTGGCCAAAATTTTGCTTTGCTTGGCATTTTGGAGCAGCCTTGGTATTTGGCTCGAAGACGACTGTTGCTCTCCATTCCACCTGCCATCGAGATCTCCTTCCAACCGCACCATTGTGTTGAGTTTTGGACTGATGCCTCGTTGATGTGGGCGAATAGGTTTTGGCTGACGATTGCCACCTTCGCAGTCGTTGATACCAATTTGCAAGTATGCACGAAGGGCGTTGTGAACCATCCGTTCCTGTGCTCCTATGTTGCGGAACTTTGGGGACTTCTACAAGCGTGCATTCAGACGCCCTATCGGGTCCATGTGTTCTGCGACAACAAGACGGTTGTTGAACATGCAACCCAGGTAAGTTCCTCAGGAGAAGCTGATCCAGCATGGCTCTGTCAACCATGGTGGTCCTTCATCTCCTCCCTCATACGACAGAGGAGGGAACACCATCCTCAGCCGGTTGTTACATCCTGGATTCCTGCGCACTGCTTCGAGCACCTCCCGATTGAGAATGTGACAGAAGCTATGGCACAAAGCAAGCATACGACAGTTCGACACATTGAACGGAATAGACTTGCCGACCGTACTGCAAAGGAGTTTGCCAATAACCTCTCGGCGGTAAACCCGCTGATACAAGTACAAGCAGACAGGGCTGCTCTTCGGCATCAGCAGTGGCTTACCCAACTACACGAGTTGCTGCCCACTGCTTTGAGTTCCCAATCTGAGTATCCAACAGAGCCTGAACCCTCTCTTGGCCATGAGGAGTACAGGGCTCTTTTTCCTCATTGGGATTGGCATGCAAATGAAAGAGCTTTTGCGTGGAAACCTAAAATTCCGCTAGTGTTTCCACCACCGAGTGCTTGGAAGGGCAACCACAATGACTGGGATACTATTTGCAATTTTCTGCGGTGCTTGCGATGGCGAGTACAAGATGGCGATGTAACGTCTCTTTGTGAACTCACGGCTTTGTTCCATCATAAGGGCTACAAGCTTGAAGATTGCCATCAAGGCTCCACATATCTGGACTACCACAGAACGATCAGAAGAGCCCTTGTACTGCTTGAACGGTCAGATGCTGCGCAAGCTACACCATGCAAGATTGTTCCTGCCTTAGCCAAAGCTGCAGGCCGTACAATGCCGCAAGGCTCCATTGACGGGGCATCCGTTTTTGTTGATGATGCTGGCCTTACACACCTTGCCAAGATCTTTGAAATGGGTGCTGGGCGCACTCTCGCTTCGTGGGATGTTCCACTTGCTTTGGTCGCTTTTTCACCTGCATGAAGGAAGTTCGCTTCCCATGGGGATTGTTGTTTGTACATAGGTCTGTGAGCCTAGTACATCACCGGGCTCGTCTCCCGAGTTATCCTGGTGCGCGTGGTGATATATATACATATATGTGTGTGTGTGTTGTTTGTTCCTCCGGCTTTTGCGAAACTCTCTTTTGTCTTCTTTCTTCGTGGAATGACCACAAGCCGTAGGCCGTTCGTACGCCTAGTCGTCATGTATCTTCGGTGCCGAATGGACGGACGGTGCCGAAGGATGGTCAAGCAAGGCCCGCAGCCCGCCCCGCTTCGACGGAGATTCGTGCTTTGAGCTAGGCCCTAGCTCACGGGAAACAGTCCCACCCAAAAGAAGCTCTTCGCTTTTCTCTCGTCTCACACCAGCAAAAACCACATGGATAGCCTGTGTTTTTCCCACCGCTGTGACACGAGGGCCGAACTGTCCCGAATCCGCCGCGGGTTCCGCCGCGGACCTTTCTGAACGTTGCTGCAGCACCAGGATCGCTTCGCTTCCGCCCAGCTGCTGTCCTTGGGCGCGGACGAACGGTGACCCCGTTGCCCCGTTGCAACAGGAGCACCGAAAAAGGGAGGTTAGGTCTCGAAAACGGTCGATTGAGTCCAAGGAACAACGCCAGTGCAATGGAACTTCACGCAACCCCTGCTTTGATGATGGCAGCACCAATCCTTCTTGGAGTCCGACCAGCCGGTCATCCAGCGCGAGAAGCCAGCATCACAGTCGTAGATGCGACCCTTTGCATGTCCCACTCCATGAGCCATGACATGTGTGTGGACATGGTGGCTGCCATGCCAGGTTCCAGGGCATCCCATGCCCCTGTGATCACAGCACCAGGACTTCTTGTGCGTGGACCATCCAAAGTACCAGTTCGAGTAGCCGGAGTGGCAGTCAAAGGCAAAGCTGCTCGGAGGCTTTCGGTAGATCACCTGAAGGAAAAACAAAAGAAAGCGACAGCGGTATGAACTCGATCGGCATCAAGTTGGTCCATATCGCATGCCCCAACGGCTGGACGAGTTAGAAAAATAACATCCCACAGCCGACATAGAATCTAAGGGACTTTCGACTCATAACCCGCCCACTGGAGACGTACCAATTTTTCTAACCAGGGCCAAAAGGTGTTACATTCAGTGACAAAACCATCATATTCCCGTCGAAATGTGCCATGTTGCGAGCATGTTGAGCATGTTCTTTGACCTTTTGTTTTCTCTTCTCCTTTCGTCCATCACCCACGTCCGCCGCTTTGACCGCCGCCCCAGTCCGAGCCGCATGATGCACCACCGCGCGGTGCTGCGGCACCCGGTGCGGCACCCGATGCGGCACTGGCGGGGACGGGGCGAAGTGAGCGCAGCCGCGGCCGAAGTTGTCGCAGCAATAGTCTCGATGGCGTGCGTCCCAGAGCTGGAACTGTGTCTCATAGCTCCGGAAGCCTCACCGAATGGCTGGGGAGCGCTTTTTGGGTCCGGAGGGGGTGAGGGCAGCCACATGCAGACATCATTCGGCTCAGCATCGCAGCTGGCGCATCTCCCTTCCCCCGCGCCGGTGGACCGGCACGTCGACCTCGACGCAGACTGCGGTGCGGTGGCCTTGCCAATGGCCGAGGGGCAATCATAGAGTTCGGCGTGTGCAGGTGGGTGGGCGGCGCGCAAATAGAGCCAGAAGAGCAGACCTCGCGAAGGAAGGGAAGAAGCCTCGCCCCCACCAAGGTCAGGTCAGTTCGGGGATGGGATGACACGAGTGTCAACCTATCCCTGAGACCGATGTCAACCACTTGATAGCTGGGATGTGGAATCGGTGTGCGGTCCAGGTCCTGCCCCATGCTGCTATGACAAGAGGCCCAAGGTCACCAACATCAGGACGCCCAGCAGGGTCGTACAAAGATAGCAGTTGGGCCTGCCAGGGAAAGACATCGTGAGTCGTCAGTTCTGGGCAACTCAGTTTGGCGGCGGATCCATCTGGCACACAGAAAAACCAACAGTGCAAATTCTGCAACATGGAACTATGGAACTGGAAAAAAACACAGCAGCGCCCTCGCCCTCCAGAGGTGCGTGGGAGCTCCTTGTCAATGTTGCCCTTCCCTCAGCACAGGCTTTGATGAGTTTGACAGTGACGGAGAAGAACAAAACGACCAACAACATCCAACAACAACAAAAAAGTCCGAAACAGGGCGATTCAGTAGTCACTATAGGCGCGACGTGAAACCGTGAAACAGAGGGTAGAGGAAAAGAACTCCGAGTGAAGGAATGCTCCGGCAAATCTCTCAGTCCTTCAGAGATCCAAGCAAACACATCCGGATGGCACATGAGACCATGCTTAGCCATGAACACCAGCCTTTTTCCACGAACCAATCGCTCTAGTTTCGCCCACGGAAGTCCAGTCGACTCTTTGTCAAAGGTGGACCAAACCAAACCGTCTTGGAGTGCCAACAGCCACAGCCATGGGTGCTTCGGTCAGAAGTGAAACGGCCGGGTCTCCGAGGCCGACGTAGGTCAATCTCGACTGCTCGTCGTAGGAGCCTCGGCCTCCAAGACACGTCGGAGTCTGCTATTGACTCTGGAGGTCCAAAGACTATACTTTCCCTGAGTGAAGTAAAGGAAATGTCCTTTCAGATCCCATAATCATAAAGACCGTTCCTATTTGTATAGTCTTTGACATCCAGGGTATAGTGTGCGCGTGTTTTACTCTCTTTTTGATTAAACTAAACCATCATGAAACGATCGTACGAATTCCTGGATCTTCCAACTATGCCAAATGTCTGCCTGACTCTTGGTTGTTGTTCATGGACGAAAAGATGCCACATTTGGCACAGTTGGAAGATCCGGGCATATGCTTGGGTGAAGACTATCCCAGCTATGCAGAAGCCGCAAAAAACTTCATAGCTGAACTGCACACTGGATGACAGCGACAAATCTGCATATGGACCCCCAAAATAATTGGAGAAGTAGATCCCCACTAGAAATGAGCAATGTATTGAAAAATATCGCACACAGATGCACACAGGTTCTATCTATTTAGGGATCCCTCTGCCTTTGTTTCTGTACCTTTCTCTTCCTCGAATTGGGATGAAGTCCTTGTCACCGGAAGAGAAAGAACCTTCGTGAACCTTCCCCGCCTTCGCCCACATACTTCCATCGTTCGGTCTTCTGGATGGACTGGGGATCGCCTGCACGGCGTGAAGCATGGACGGTGGACGGTGCCTCTCGTGCCTCCGCGTTGACGGGAGAAAGAGGCGGAAGAAAACAGAACACCGGATTTGAAGCACTGACACCTCCGGTCCGAAACATGTTCACGGGAGGCGTGTCTGTGTGTGTGTGTGTGTGTTCGTTCTTTGCCAACAGAATCCACCTCAGCCGGCCTTCGAAACAAAGCTGATAGCACTGGCGGCAGGTCATGGCGAGTTTTCAAGCGGTGAGGATGCTAGTGTTCGAGAAGCGATGCAACTGGAGACCCGCGGAACTACCTGTGGAGACCTCCACCCAAATCCTGTGGCACAACCCACTCGCAGACTTTCCTTGGCAGTAGCATGCAGTGGCTGGGCCCAGATCCGAACCCGGGGGCGGGAGGGATCTGGCCGGTCAACACCGTTTTTGTCGTCTTCGTGTCGATTTGGCCCAGTCAGACCGTCGGTGGGCTCGGGGAGCGACTCAAGTGGATTTCTTAGGCAACTTGGGTGTATGGCATGCACTCCCCCCGCTAGTGGGCCAAAGTGGCGAGGCGAGCATCTTCCAAACATGGCGAGAGCTTCGCAGAAAAAAACACCTGAAAGGAGAGCGGCCCTCCAGTCTGCCCTGCAACAAATCTGTTCTTCAGAAAATCCTTCGTTCTTTCAGAGGACCTTTCCACGTCACTTGAACACTGAAAACTGAAACCCCCCGGTCTCGCTCGTCCTCGCGTCTTTTGGTTCCTTGCGGCTCGCAGCTCAGGGCGCTCCTTTTTGAGCCCAAAACACCGAGCTCTCAGAGGGACGAGTCCCGACGGCACCGCAACGCCCCGGCCAACGGTCGAGCGCCAGTGAGATCGTCTCTACCCCGATCCAAAAAGGACCTGGAACCGTCATCTAAACCACCCCACCTGGAAGCCAAATAGATCGTGGCACGGTTTCAACAAGAGAATACATGATCAGTGGGGATCTATGAACTTCTATCTATTTGGGGTTCATTTTGTAGGGTATCTATGACATTATGACATTCTATGATCAAAGTTTATGACTCTCCGACGTCCTGAGACCTTCTCATCACATTGAGCTTCACATCTGCACATACTGGGCCGCCATGATGTCCTCAGCTCGTCCCTCCGACAGAGATCGCAGCAACAGTTCTCGGTGGCACCTGGCACTCTCTGCTCACACGTGGCCTGGCACCTGGCCCCTTTCAACGGGAATAAACCAGTTGTGAACCAAACATGGGAAGGGCGCGCGTCGTTGGAATCGACACTCGAGTAACTCGTCCCAAGAGATCCATTTGGAAGAAATCGGGAGGTCCCCAACCCATCTTGCAGAACGTCGTTTGCTCCATGCGTTCAGCGCTTTCAGATGGAAGATGAACCACTTCGACCCAAAAACGTCGTGGCCAGAAACGCGCCACCAAGGCTCCTTGCCATCGAGACGGCGCGCTCTGGAACGCGCCCGGAGGCCGGCGCGTTCCAACATTGCACGGCGATATTTGTGCACGCGCTGGTCGGCAAGGAATGGGTGAAACCGACGTCAGTTGCCCCGTCCAGGAGACGTCAAGATGCAAAGTTGCAAGATTCAAGCACCCCTGATTTTACAGAGCTGCTTGGCACTCGAATTTCTTTGAATTGGCCCCGGCTCCACCAATCGAACCTGGGACGGTTCTTCAGATGGCGGCTGTCGCAGCCGGTTCTTCAGCGTCGGGGTCTGTTTTCAACTTGATCCGCTTTTCTGGTCGACCAGCGCTGGTGAACCGCTATCGTTCGGGGTCGAGACCAGCGTTTTTCTTCGGCCGGGTCTGCCGACATGCCGACAGGGGCCAGCAGATTGGGTCACGCCTCTCTCTGTGGGGCCAGCATGAGAGCTCTGGACACCGATCAGGCTAGGGAATGCGGGAAACGGGGTCTTCACAGTTCAACGACAGTCAATACTATCAAAAGAATACAGCTTGTCTTTAGATGTCTGTATAACTTTATAAAGGACCTGATTTCCGGAGCTTCCTTTACCTTCAGCCCTTCAAAATGCTAGTCCTTTCAATTCTGACCTCGGGTGCATGCCAGTCCCATCGTTCGTGTGTGGGATACTGTCACCGTGAACTCCAGCGTCCATCGGGTCGTGACGGACCTTGCAAAGGGCGGTGCGTGTTTCCACGCGCGGGCCCGCGCCTTGTCAGGGGTGAGCACCTCGGAAACAAAGAGAGAAAATGAACCATGAACAAAACACCAAACCATGCCAAACCCTATAGCCAAACCAGTTCGACCCTTTTTAAAAGAATGGTCGACCTGGTGGTGTTAGTGTAAAAGCCCTTAGCAAAACAATTGCTCTTTGGTATGAAAAGACCACGCACACAACGGGCACAGAATCAGACGGCATCTGATGGAAAAAATGCGAATTTTCACCACCTGAACCAGGACGGCTCTGGGTCGCTGTTGTAGTAAGCATCTATCTTCTATGCACATGTCTACGACCATTCTTCATTGCTCGGCTGCAGGAAGACGAACGAAGTTGGCAAACCATTGCAGGGCAAATGTTAGTTTGACCTCCGAGAACAAGGGCCAAGCTTTGAAGGTGCCTTCCAAAATGTGTTTTCCTTGACTTGTCTGAAGAAACGGGACGGTGTTCTTTGGCCAAAAACTCCAAACCTAGAACTCTTAGTTGTTCTTGGTCGCTCAAGTCTACTTGGCGCAAGAATTCCCTAAAAATAGGTGCTTGCTACTTTACGTCCGTGTGCCCACCACAAAATGACAGGCAGTTGAATGCATGTCGGTCTTGTATGTCTTGTCTGTTTCGATGTCATGTCGGATGTTTCTCGACCAATCTGAAAAGAATGCATCTTCAGTCTGTAAAGGGCCATCGGAAAGCCAACCAAAGACTTGGCAAATTCAAGGCCCCCGGAGTCACGTGGCGTTTCTTTGCGGAACTGTTAGTCCCTACGGAGTGAGTGGGTGTGACAGGGGCACCGGGACCGGCACCGATCTCCATGTTTGGCTGGTTGAAACCAGAACGGCGGACCTTCTTCGGACCCAGAGGCCGCTGGAAAGAGGATGATTGTTGGCGCTGCCAAACAGGTTGGCAGCGACTAATGGGCAGGTTGCCAGAGGAAAAGATCTACTAAGCATCGTCCGAATGACCGAACACAACCTGTACTAGTAACGTCGCTTTGTTTCGGAGAGGTTTCTTCCGGTTTCCAGGTGCGTGCCTGCGCAACCGAGATGTTGATGCTGGCAGCACCATCCCTGAACAGCGGCAGATGGTGGACGTTCTTCCTTTAAAAAGAGCCCGGAAAACGCTCAAAACAGAGTTCAGGCCCCTCAATCCTCAGTCTTCTTTCTGTCTGTTTTTGTATATCCCGCCAGTGGCAAGAATAATGTACAACTATACTCTCTTATCAACTGTGAGAGCTTTACTCGGACACAGTCGCAGACTGCTCGAACAATTCAGATCGAAAGGGCACGTCGCAGCGGTCGCACGACGTGTCTGTCGTGCGCGGTGTTCATTTTTGTAGCTGTGGTGTGCACCCACTAAGAACGAGCAGTTGGAACGAGCCGAAACTGGCCAGGCCAAGGAAGTGTCAGGCCAGATGTGCTGCCAGGCCAGATGTGCCAAATGAAACAAACGAACGATCGATTTCGTGAAGCTCTTCAGGAACTTGCAGAGCTCGCCTTCTTTCCTGCCGACCATCCCGTGTGCCAGTTTTGGAGGCCCGCATGGCAGTCGTAGGGCATGCTGACCACACCGTGTCCGTGAACCGCTTGCCAGGTCCAATAGCCACGCACCTGGCGTGCGTAGAACCCTTCCGCACCTGGAAAAGGATTGATCATACTAAGTCGTTGTGTGGTAGACTTTGGGTCTGCCCTTTTTACCAGCAAGTTGCTGGATGATGGTTAGTAAAGACCTTTCTCAAACATATTGATAGTCTTGCACCGAAGACCCAAGTTAGACTCCTTGAAGAATTTCTTCAAGACCTCCATGCCAAAAAAACAACAAAAGACCCAAACAACTACTTCGATCTGGAACCTCAAGTACCGAACCACCGGACCTGCATGAGCTAATACGTATATGCCTTGCATATGCCTTGCACGAAGGCATCGAGATGCACGCCTGCCCAACGCATTCCGCCCGTGAAAACCCCGCCTGAACGCGCTTCCAAACCATGCCATAGCCTGCATCCACTGCCGGTGGCGAGGTGCCCTCACAGCCTTTCCCACGCTTCGTGCAGCACCAATGCTTCTTCTCGGGCGACCAGGCCTCAGGTGGCACCACTGCCGAAACGAGGCAGTAGCGGCGGAGAGAGGGACGGGAGGGACGCCCCATGCAAGGGCCTTGAGCCTTATGCGATCTTATGCGCCTGATGCATGAGAAGCTGTGAGAACGCCAGTGGTTTGACCAAATGGAAAACATATGGCTGGTTGGCTTAGACCATATTCCGCCTCATGCCCCCCAACCAGGACATAGAAACAGCCTTTAACTTTAAAGTTTAAAGACTTGTGAGTACAAAAATAAAGCAAGTACTGGGCCAAGTGAAAAAGCAAGTCATGAAACGAAAGAACATGCACTGCACGAGTCAATCATCCCCAGTTCATGGAGTGATGCACCGGCCCTCCCCAAGATCATGTTTCACTTCCCAGGTACACGGAAGAAATTGTTGAGGGCAGCGTTGCAATCGAATGGATCTTTCCCAACGGCATGCACTTGACAACCTGCGTCCTGCTGCCCGACGGAGACGTCGGTCGCGGAAGGAGATGGGCGGAAGACACGTGGTGTCGAAAACCACGGGCACCACAGGTTTGCCCCAAAAAAGCAAACCCCAAATTCTTTCACAAGCCCTGCAGATGGGGAAACAAATCCGGCCGCCCGAAGAAGGGCGGCCAAAAACTCTAACTCTCTCTCTCTCTCTTTTTCCGGATGCGAAGTCGGTCGTGGCACCTGGATCGAGCAGCCTCGACAAACATCGCACTCCACTTGCACCTTGCTGTAGGCCAATTCGCAGCTGTTCTCCTAGCAGCGCTCGGCTCAGATCAGGCGGCCGGCTCACTGCTAGGCTCAGCTACATCTCTATGGACTCTAGGGCTAGGAGATCAGGCGGCCGGCCCCTGGCCAGCCTTGCCATGCCACGGGCCCGGGGGCCTTAATCGTTCCATCCAGAAACGCCAAATATCTGACAAATGTGAGAGTGGACATGGTCCTTGGAGAGTCCTTGGAGAGCGATCTTCCCTGACACATGGGAGTCTTCTTTCTGTTCTATTTCTGGTGTTGTTTCACCTTTAGACTTTAGACTTTTAGACGGTTTCTTGCTGTCATTTCCTTTCCTTCCTTTTCTTTGCTTTCCCTTCCTTTCCCAATATGTCTTTTCCTTTCTTTTCTTTCTTTTCTCTTTCATTCTTTTCTCCTTCTCTCAACCGAGTGTTTCCTGGAGAGGCCCTCCACTCGCTCCCGTCCTTGCCGCCGAAGACATGGTCGCGCGTCCAATGGATGCGGTCGATGCACTTGGAGCCCTCACCTCGCACGCCGTCGCGCCGTCCGCGCGCCATCCGCGGTGCAGCACGACACGGTGGGGAACCCCGTCCCGTTGCACCGGAAAGTGTGCCTGTTTTCCTTGGTTCTCCAAGAGTTCTCTTCCCTGGAGCTTCCCCCCCAAAAGACATCAGAAACGCCCTCCGGCTTGAACTGAACGGAGGCCCCAGTCAGCACCGGGGGCGCAGGATCGGTCGGATGAGCGAGAAATGCACACGTACCGGAAGCACCTGGAACCACCGGTTTGCACCGGTTGGATTCCAAAGAAACGCGCGGAAGTGAACCTTCCACGGAGCATCTTTTGGAAGGAAGCACTATGCAAAAGGCATGGATCTGATGGAAAAAAGGGTTCGGATGCTTTAGTGAAGGGCGCGAAGTGTTTGCGGAAAAGAACTCGAACCGTCTCGAAACCCAAAAGAAACACCGCCTTTGCCACCCGAAACCTTCCCAAAACATTCAGCGTCTGGCTGGGGCGACCGAAGCGCCCACCCCCCACGCTTCCCGAACAGGTTCCCGAACGCCTTGCAGATGACACATCGCGTTGCACTTCAGGGGTGAGACGGTGGTCTGAGGACATCCCTTCTGGAAGTTGCCACAGCACCTGAGAGAAGCACAGCTGGGACTTCAGGTAGTACTAGACCTGGATCTTCCATCTAGTAGCTTTAGGCTAGGCCCTAAGCAAAATGTCTGCCTAACTATACTTGGATCTTTTTGTTGTCATAGATGAAAACGCAGAAATGTTGAATAGTTGGAAGATCTAGGCAAAATTGTCCTGGCACTCCGGCACTTGCCCTTCATTCTTCATAGCTTCACACAGATGTCAAATTCAAACTTTGTTCAATTCTGGTTTTTGAGGGTTGGATGATGTTGGATGTGTCATCAAAAACGCCGTACTCACCAGGACGAGAGCGATGGCGCCCCTGATGCCACTTCACCAGCTGCCCCGTCCAAATTCTTCTTCGTGTCTGCGTCACATGTGGGGCGCCATCAGCCATGAGGACACACACCAAAACATCCCCAAAACACCCAAGGACCTCCCGCATTGTCCAGGAAGCCCCAAAAAAGAAAGCGATTGGTTCCGGAGTTCCATCGAGCTGTGACTTGCCCGACTCGCCATGTCGCAGCACTTGAGCTGGCGGACCATGCGTGGGTCCCAGGGTCCGAACGAACGCTGCGGTCCGAGGAGCCACTGTCTCTGGGGAGCCGCCCACATGCTGGCCTGAGGCGAAGGATTTTTCGACGGAGTCGCCAACTGCGACGATTTCGAGGTTGCAGTTTCCGCGGCGCGAAAGCGGTGTCTCCGACTTGATTGGGGCCTCCAATGCCTTAGACGGCCGCGGCTGTTACTGCCAAAGTCTTGCCAAGGCGCATCTCCATCACAGTGATACTTCATGCATCCTCTCTTCTCATGGGTGCAGCACCATTCCTGCTTGGAGTTGGACCATCCCTGCTTCCAATTCGAAAAGCCTGCATTGCAGTCATAGATTCGGCCCTGTGCATGACCCACACCGTGCGTCACGTGAGTCTCAAGATGGTAGCTGCCATGCCAAGTTCCAGGGCAGCCCATGCTGTTATGATCACAGCACCAGGACTTCTTGTGCGCAGACCATCCGAAGTACCAATTCGAGTATCCCGCATGACAGTTGTACCTGCAAGCCATCACAACGCACCTCACCCCCTTGCTTCCTCACTCGCTCTAATTTCATTGTATTTCTGTCTTTATCTCTCCTGTCGTTTCTTTAGACCTTGAGGCCTTTCTGCCACTTGCTAACACAAAGAACCCCCCCTCTCCAACTCTCAGCCGCCAGGGCCGGTGCTCCGACTCTATTCAGGGCCAGGCCACACAGGGCCTCCACACCCCTTGCCATGTTGGGCACAGCAATAGGACGCCTTCTCTTGATTCCAGGCGTTTCGCCAATTGGCGTAGTCGCTGAAACCTGGGCGTGGGACGGCGCGTTTTTTTTCCGCCGGGGTTTCAAGGTTTTGGGGGACGTCGTGATGATAGCATGATGATAGCATGATGGTGGCAGGATAGCAGGATAGCATCCCTTCATATCCTTCCCCAATTTGCAGCCTCCAAGAACATCTGCCATTCGTGTACAATCATGTACACTGCTTGATTCATCGATTCCTTGATTGTGAAATGAGCTATCGCGGAAAAACCTCTTCTTGTTCATGCGCGATTCATCTCTTTGGCATGATCCTTTTGGGCTTCGCCATGGTCTCCGATCAGCTGGAGCCAGAGCGAACCAGGCCGACCAGGCCTCTCCACTCTGCGGAACCGGCGAGGGGCAGTCGTGCGGTTCCGTGAAGCCGGTGTTGCGGGGCCACAGCCAATAGATCAAAAAGCCTCAGGTGGTGTGGCTTTTCGTTCCGCTTCCGCGTGTAATTGTGCTTGCACGGAGGAGAAGACTGGAGAAGGAGGAGAAGCGCCATGACTGGACATCTTCTGAACGTGGATCATCAGATACCATCAGATCATGTCTCGATGGGGCTCAAGAAGAAGCGACACCCAGAAATTACGTACCTTCCTGGAAACCCAATCCCAAGCAGCAATAAATGGTTGGAACATCGACATGGAAATTGACAATTGACATCCTTTATGAAATGAAGTGGCCTTGGGGAAACATCGATCTATTTCTGGGTGTTTGGGTCTTCCGGTCGGCATCTACTAGCTGATGTACGGCGCTCTTCCTCTCTTGCTGAGCCAGGCGCCCAGGATGGGAAGAAGGAGCAGCAGGAAGAGACAACAGGTTCGACAACGCCAAGCCCCATAAGACACGTTCACCTCCTTGTCATAGGACCCGCGTCCTGTGCATGGTGCCAAGCGGTGGATCGAGGATCGAGGTAAATGCGGTAAATGCTCTGTCTTCTCTCCTTTCCCGTTTTCTCTTTCTCCAGTTCGGAAGCTTTCAGTACATTCCGCAGCATCAAAGCATATTGAATTCGGACGTCCCTCTTTTCAAACCCATGCCACCAACCACCTCCCGCGTGGCACACGGCGAGGGAAGCCGCTCGAGCCTGCTCCAACATACTCCACGGTGGTATTGTGAATGTAAGAACCTTGCCCCTCTCCTAGCAGCGAATGCGCAAGAAAAGGAACAAAATGCCGCTTCCTTCGTTTGAAGACGCTTTCTGCGACTTCACCTCCGTCGCCCCCGGCGCGTCCCGTCCCCTTGGGTCCCGTCCGGCCCGTGGCCAGTTCCGTGTGCGGGCCGTGCGGGTCCTTTGTACACCCACGTCGCCGACTCCTTGATGCTGGATGGGTCACCTCATTCGTCTGCAGGAAATCACGGCCCACCGGCGTGAAACCACTGCCCTGCTGCCAAGGAACCCTCCAAGCAGACCTCACCGAAAGTCGGCCCAGGGCGTGGGAAATGGACTGCACGGTCTGTTTCCAGAGAGGTACTTACGAGACACCCGACTGAAGTCCAGTTCGACGATCTTTGGACCGACTGAAGGTTTCAGGAAAGTCCCCCCCCGTAGCGGCGGGCCCTCTCGCCTGATAGCACCCCATACCATCCATCGCGCCGCCACCGCCGCCGCCAATCACGGGGCCACTGGAACCCGTCCACGGGCCAGTCGACGGCATCGCGCTGGACTGGATCGGCGGAACTCGTGTGTTCAACTCGTCCGAAACTTCGTCGACGCTGGAGCCCAAGACGCGGAGCGTCGAACGCTGCCGAAAGCTTTCCGAACTCGATGCCGGTCGTTTTCGTGCTGCCACGCGCAACGTGAAAAAGAAAACGAACGCGGTCGTCGCGGAGGGTCGGGGCTTTTCTGAAGGATCTGAAGGACAAGACTCTCGGCGCCCGAAGAGCGCTTCGCATCAGCAGGCCGAGACTGCCAGTTTCGCAGGTCTGTTCCGAGAGCGAGTTGACCATCTCCATCACAACTCCACTCTGTCTTAGTCCACCCTTCACAACGGGACAAACTCCATGAAATAGATATTGTTCTTGAACATTTGTGCCCCCAACGATACAACAAAAAGGCCCAACGATTTCCGGATTCCAAAAACCCCACTGAGTGGTTTCTTCTCGCTATTGGCGCTTGGCACCCATCTCCAAGTCCTTTTTCCGACCCACCGGCGTGCCCGTGCAGTGCCCGGCCCTCACCCGGGAAACACCCGCTCGGAGAGGCCACTCCGTCCTGCCGACAAGGACTTCGAAGGAACCCGAATGGGCGAACGACGGACCCGTCGCCGCTGCGCCCCACAAGGACCGCCGGGTCGGTGCTTCCGAATGGGTTCAACAGCCGCTGAAGCGGTTGGGCTCTCTGAGCCGCGAGCAGGTGCCGCTGTCGCGGTTCCCGAAGCGAACGTGAAAAGAGGTCATGTCTAGCCTGTCTAGCACTGTTCGGAAGCCTGTAAGGCAACGCCCCTGCGCCAAACATCCTCTTGGCTACCTTTCGCTACATGGTCGGATGTCAAGAAAGGACGAGTATGTACTGCATGCCTCTTTTGGTCCCAACACTGGGCGTGACCATTCCGGTGAAACCACGAACTCCCTGGAATCGTGCCCGTCTTAGGCTGTTCGTTGCTGACCCCCCGCGCCCGTGGACTGCGCCGAGGCACGGCGGCTGGAGCTTCGGCGGACTCGTCCGCCGAGCTACGCTTCGGCCACCGAGGCCTGCTTCTTCTCGTAGTACGTGTCCTCGCGCTTGGCGCGGTCCTTGTTCCGCGTGAGGTACCTGGGAGGTCGACGCGGGCGACGCGTCTTCGTTGTTGATGAAAGGGCGAACGGAGAGAACCGTCTGAAAACGCCGACCGAAACGGAGAGAGAAAGATGGAAAAGCTACGACAAGCTGCTGAAGTTTCCGTGATTGTTCATCTTGTTCTACAGCTTTAGACCTTTTAGACCTTCAAACCTGGTCTTGACATCGGGGACCGGTCGCCGGCCGCTGTTCCCGGTCCAGTCGCTGTTCCCGGCCGCGGATGATGCGTTCCACCACGGTGTCGTGGCACAGCTCGGGCCAACGAGAGGGGACTTCCTTGTAGATGCCAGAGCTTTTGGGTACCTCCACTCGCGGCAGGATTTCCACCGTGCCAGCAGCAGAACGGCACGGGGCCAAGTAGTAGGGTCTTTTTCGTGAGAGCAGCCCAAACATGCCAACCAGGTATGTACAGGATCATCCAATGGGTGTCCAATGAAGGTCCATAAGCAGTCTAGCGTGGTCTAGTGGACACCCATCGGATGACCCAACCATGTATGTTACCCCCTCGGGGTTCTTACTCAAAGTCCCAACAAGGTATCGAAGGTATGACCATCGGAATCTTGCCTCCGTGTTTGCACATCTTGTCGAGGTTGCTTTTGGGGGGGAATGCTCTTGCATACAGGTTCTTAGCCTTCCGGACGCACGCCTGAAAAGAGCTCTGAAAAGAGTTGTTTGATGTGTCCCGACTGCCTAAGCCACGCCTAGCAAAAGAACAAAAAGAAACCATCTTTAAACATATTTCCAAAGAGTTCCCACATGTTCCCACCTCAAAGCGAAGATCCTGCTCCTCTCCCGCATTCCGCTTGTGGCCCGTACCTTTCGCCACCACATTGATGTCCCAGGTCTTGACCAAATCTTCCGTGACGCTCATCGGAGCTCCGATGATCACCTCGTCGACCCATTTGCAGGCACACACGTTCAACACGCGCTCGTTGAGGTTCATCACGGGCAGGTTCTGCCCCTTCGACCGGCTGATGCTCACATCGTCATGAATTCCCACCAACAAGAAGCTGCCAAGCTCGCGGGCGTCTTTCAGAAACTCTGCATGGCCCACATGGAACATGTCAAAGGAACCACAGGCATAGACCACGCAATCCTGCGGTGACGGCTGCTTGGCCGAGGAAAACTCCCGGATCCGGCGAGTGCTGGCTAAGAGCTGCACCGGAACTTGGGTCCGGGTGTAGCCCGATCCGTCGCTGTTCACGGAGGGGGCGGGGAGTTCTGGGGGGGCGAGGGGGAGTTGCTCAATCTGTTGCTGCAAGGCAGTTGCATCCTCCGTGCTGATCTGATACTTGCTCACGAGCTTCTCCACACTTTCTCGAAGCAGCCGTTTTCCTTGGGAGCCTTGAGAGGTGTCTGAACTTGCTTGGGCTGAGTGGGCGATCACCTCATCCGCACTCATTCGGAAGCCCATTTTGGGCGAGGCACCGCCCAGATCCGAGGGCTGATTCCGCGAGAGGGTCAAGAGCCGACCGATCAGGTCAGTGGTGGAGACACCCTCGGTACGCTTGATGATGCGTAGACGCCCTGCGTGGCGCATCTCGTCATAGGCACAGAAGCCCTGCGAGTTCACGGGCATGTCATCTCCATGGATGCAGAAATCTGCCCTGGCACGCTCCAGAGTCGCAAGCTCTGGGGAGTATGGAACATCATACAGAATCTCATCGATCCATTTAATGTGATCCAGCAAGCGGTAGCGCTCTTCTTGCCGCATCACAGGCATCGACTTGTTTTCGGCGATCTCTTGGTCAGAGTGGATGCCAACAACTAAAGTATCACAAATGCTCTTGGCCTGACGAATGGCGTTGTAATGCCCTGAGTGCATAATATCGAAGCACCCATCGATGTAGCCCCTCACGGGTGGTGAGGTCGAAGTCGAGGCCGTCATGAACCACCGGAGTCGGCCCGTCGGCCGTCCAACTTGAACCGAAAGTCGAGTCAGGCTGCACACCAAAGCAGCCCGGAAACACAGGCTGCAGCTGCAACATACGCAGTTGTCTGGGGCATTGACAAGGTGTTCTACAAAATATCCCCATACAAATCCCTCTAGATACTACTTCCAGGTCTCTTCTTTTCCCTCTTCCTTAATGCTTTTGTCTTTAGACCACTAACCTTATTATTCAGCCACTAAACCTTATTATGTTCTGCTTGATTCACCACATGTCTCTTCACCACACCCCGTCGTCGGCCCTCCCTCCACGCCCCGTCGTCACCACGCCACGGACACGTCCTGTGCCACGGCAGGCCACGGCCGGTGACGCCATGGTGCCGCCATGGCGGGCCCGGAGCGGCGGCGCAGAGGTGAAGGAGGCGGAACAAACGTCCAAAAGGAACCTGGAATGGCCTTCAACCGCATGGCGAGAAAGATTGGTTGACTCACTTCTCGCTTCTCACGGCTCGTTGGCTCCCAAACTGGATCGATTGGCTTTCTGACATCTTTCTGCTTCAGCCTGGTGCTGCACCCTGTTTGTTACGAGCTTTTGTTCAGGAACTGCATTCCCAGCCTCCAAAATGGCTTGCGGTGGCCTGCAGACTTGGCTCCCAAGAAAAAGAAACAAGAGAACGACTATCAAACACCAGAGCCCCAGTCTCCTCCCAAGCAACCACCCCCGCATACACCAGCGTTTTGAAGCCGTTGTGCCCAACCGCATGAACCGCCGTCGTCCCTTCGGGACGTGACGACCGTCCACGGTCGCCCCGGTGCCACAGCGCACCGCGCACAGCGCAGCGCAGCGCACAGCGCGGGCCGCCGCTTCTTCGAAGCCGCGAGGGCCGCGCAGGTCGACCCAAACAGCGAGGCGAGAGGAGGCGCCCCTGGGGAGCAAATGAAAAAAAAGTGCAAAACTCCGGAGGAACCAAGTGCAAAAAGTGGAAATAGATCATGAAATCATGTAAGTCGACTCTTGATAAATCGATTTCATCCCTCCTATGAAGAGGTTGTTCCATCCCAATGGGGTGCGGGGGTGATTCATCAAGAGTCGGACCTATAACACTGCATGAATTCGGGCGAAGATTTCGTGGCGCCACGAAGGCGCGGAAAAAAAAGAACCTGTGAAAACCGCCGGTCTTGGGATTTCATGGTCCTCCGAACTCGGGGGGTGGACTTCAATCATGTCCCATCCACGCCAAAATGATTCCAGTCTTTCATGACATGTCGAGAGAACGCCCGGTTTTGCGGTTTTGCCGTGGGGTCGAGTCGACCAACCGCACGCTCACGAGGCGCGGCGGCAGAGTGGACTCCAGACACGGCAGAGTGGACTGGGAGAGACCGAGGTTGCGGTGGATTCCAAGCCAAAACCTCACCAGACGTGGATGGAATGACGCCCAGACACGACGTTGATGGGACTGTTTCAACTCGGACTGCCTTCGAAACGATCAAGTTAGGGTGGTGCCGTTTCGGGGGTCGGGGCGGCAGTCCGACATGGCAGTCCCATGAGCTCTGCAAAAGATGTATGAGTTCCTTTGGGCCTTTTTGAAGCCTCAAGAGGAGTCCCGACAAGTCCAACGTGAGCTCACGAGTCCTCATCGCCACCCCACACGATGCCTCCCGTGGGATCAGTGGTAGTGATGCACCACCACATGATGGACATGATGGTGATAGCCCCCAGAGTGGAAGCTGCCGCCAGAGTGGAAGCTGCCACCAGAATGGAAGCTTCCCCC